AATTGTCCTTAGCCTCCCGGCCTAAGAAACATTCATCATGCATACATTATTTTCAAGACAAGCAATTCAATTTGACAAGAAGAAAATCCATGTGATTCACCTCGCTATTTTTCATCATTTTTGTTTAGGGGAAGTTAAAAAACTTTTTAAAAATTTTTATTGCAAAAAGTTCGAAAACTTCTTCCAAAACTTCATTTTTCACGTCTTTCTTTTTCGGGAGAAAGTCAGTACCCTCCACTGATGACAAAAATGATGGAAAATCTTTTGCATTTTTAGTTGCTTGTGTCTGCACGCACGCACTCAACTATACATATACACATACAAGCACAAGTTATACACATGTCATGTCATGTTAAGTTAAACTTGGTCGAGTCATTTGGTCAAGTCGTAAGTCAATCATAGTCTATACGAGTCCTTTGGCAAATCCTGTTTTGCAGGTCTCGGGTACAACCCACGTTCGGGGACAATCGAACCATCTACAACCCACGTTCGGGGACAATTGAACCATCTACAGCCCACGTTCGGGGACAATCAAACCATCAACAACCCACGTTCGAGGACAATCAAACCATCTACAGCCCACATTCAGTCGAACCATCTATAACCCATGTTTAGAATAATCGAACCATCTACAGCCCACGTTCAGGGACAACCGACCATCAACAGCCCCTTTTCGCGGACAATCGAACCATCTACAGCCCATGTTCGGGGACAATCGAACCATTGATAGCCAACATTCGGGGACAATCGAACCATCAACATCCCACGTTCGGGGACAATCGAACCACCAACAACCCACGTTTGGGGACAATCGAACCATCAACAACCCACGTTCAGGGACAATCGAGCCATTTACTACCCATGTTCGGGGACAATCGAACCATTATCATCAACATCCCATGTTCGGGGATAAATCGAACCATCATCATTTTTCAAATACCCAGTGATCATCCCGAGGCACGAAAGATCATCATCCAGTGGGCTACTCGAGGTGTAGGAGTCTACGACATGTTTCCCAAGGCACATAAGCTTTTCACCTTTTATTTAGTGGATTGCTCGAGGCGTAGTGGTTCACTATAGAATTCCCGAGGCGCGGAAGACTATCATCCGGTAGATTTCTCAAGACGCAGAAAACTACCAAACGTGTTTGTTGCCATGCAGTGGTGTCAGATATAATTCTATCCCTTTACTCTTTTATCTGTGGAATTGACGTTTTTCTACAGGTATTAGCGTATATGATGAGTGACATTTATGTCACTCTTAGGATTAGTGTTTATGTCTCTTTCCTCCTATTTTCTTAGGTTTTTCTACCTCATTTCTCCTCTTATGGATTCTTTATGTGTTGATGAAAAGAATGCTTATTTGCGCTTGTTTTGATAATCTTTATGCATTATTTTATCATCCCTTTGCTCTCGTGATTTTTGCTATCTTTTGTAGGTTCCATGGTGGTCCTAAGCACGGTGGGAGGCCCCTTAGCCAAGCTTGGAAGCATGGATAAAGGCAAGATGAGCAAAGGGAAGGAGAGCAAGCAGGAAGAGGAAGTGCAAGAAGAGGTGTGGCCAAACCTCTGAAAGGTTCGGTCAAACCAAGGTGTGGTCAAACTTTTTAAAAGTTTGACCGAACTTCTAAGGTGCAAATGAGGCAGTTTCAAACCAGTTTTCAGCGATTTTGCAAGAAGGGTCGAACCTCAAAAGTTCGACCAAAAAAGGAGCAGGGAGGTTTGGTCGGACCTTTTCTCGACCCAGCCAACTTTGTATGGACTATTTAAGTCCCTTTTCAGAACATTTTTGGGTAGATTAGATTAGCTTAATTTTTTGGTTTTATTAGCCCTAATTTAGGGAGAGAAACACCCTTAGTTTAGCTTTTTAGAGAGAGAAAGTGTGGATTTCTCCAATGTTGAGCTTGGATTTTAAAGAAGAAGCTTAATCAACCTCTTTGTAGACTTTCAACTTCAATCAATGAGCATTTGCTTACTCTTTTCTCTTTATATTGCTATGTGATTTTGCTTTAGTTTGCATTTTACTTATTGATTACTCTTTAATCATGCCTTTGCTTGTTGATTTCATAATTAACTTGTTAATTGCCATGGATTGTGAGTAGTTCTTTAGCTAAGGGTGTGGAGATGATGTAGTTGGAATTTATTGATGTTTTTGTTTGAAATTCAAGTTGATTATGATTAAAGCCTTTATTTGCTTGATGTTCCTCGATCTTCTTGCAAAGTGCACGTTGCTAGTTGATTGAGGGTGAATTTATGCTAGGTGATGCGATAGTTGAGCTAGCTAGATTCATTTATATCAATTGTTACTTGATTGCACCTCCCAATATATGGTTCTAATGTGATAAAATAGAGGCTATGTTAGGAGAAGCTAATTGACCCCGATAGGTGGCTAGATTGGACCTTATATCAATATTCAAGCATGTTTAGTTCATGATTAATTTGTTTCCATGCCTATGAGTGTTCAACTAAAGCTTATATCTACCGATTTCCCTTAGTGTTTTAATTGCATTGTTTCTAATTCATTTCACTCTTAGTTTTAATATCTTAGACAACTTTGTTCCCCCTTTTCGAGATAGCTTAATTATTGGTTGTGATCGTAGTCCTTAGCTTCTCCCTGTGGTTCTACCCCTATGCTTACCTTATACTCGTATTAGGTTTTTTTAGGTTTTATAAATTGTATTTGATTTAGGGATGGAAAAATTGACGACGTGTTTCTTCGCTCATTAGTATACAGAGTTATTTAGGATCGCAATACATCTTAAATCATTCTCCATCCCTATTAACTACTTTGACTATCGTTTTCGAAACTTACATTTCTACAAACTCAGTCAAAGTAGGGGCTTTTATAGACACCTAAAAATGTCTCCCCAAAACAAAACCTGATGATAAACAAACTTTCACCGTCATTATTGGTCGGGTTGAGAATTTAATCTTTTGGAGTGCTTAAATCCATGTTCAGCCCAATACATTTCATAAACCAACCTAATTCTTAGCCCATTTCCCCAAATCATAACTTATTTTCCTCTTTTCGTGTTCACATCACAAAACCAAGTTAAACTGATTTTTTGGCCCTATAATTTTGATCCAAATATTATTTGGTTGGATAGGCCTTGAAATAAGCTTTACAACGTTATATTATAAGCCCAACCGATTTAAAACAAAGAAGATATGAGCAAAACACTAAAACTCGGCCCAAAACCAACACCCATTCACTAAAATGGCCGTATCTTAGAATATAGAAAATATTTTGACCTGATTTAAACTGGGTTGGAAATTAGACTTGAATATCTTTCCAACGATATATTATATGCCTTATTCCGAGTTACGGGTCAAAAGTTATCGAAGTTTTAAAAATTAATTATTATCGCGCCATGGGAAAAATATCGTGACACGGCAATAGCTGCCGTGTCACGACAATTTGAGTCATGACACGGCAATTTCTAGAGCTTATTTCTTCGCAGCGCTTCGTTTCTAGAGTTTCTTACCTCACCCCCCCACATTTTCTCTATAAGTACGAGTCTAATTTCACCAGTTTCGGGACACCAAATAATTATCTCTTCCTCTCTTATGCACCAACACACATTCTCTTTCTCTGTCATATTCTAAGACTTAAACCTATTCTCCTAATTATATTATTCCTTCTTAAGCACTCCTCGGAGTCCATACAACACCCGAAATTCCATACTTAAACCAAGGAGTGAAAGGTAGAACTGACTGACGGTTTTGACCAATTCAACTTTACTTTTATTTAATTCAATTTCAATTCAATTTATATTTTTATTGAAGTTACTAACGTTTTATTTCATGATGTAGCACTTTAAAGAAGCATGGAACGTGAGTAATTAATTCACTTAATTACTTACTTTTATTCTTATTGCTAGTATCATGATTATTAGGGTTATTATTATGATTTGAAGTTATTATGGTTAAATTGCTTCCAATGTTAAAGATGATTCATTTATATTTATGGATTACTATATTGCATGTTAAAGGGAATTTGTAATTGAATATAACGACTAATAAGATAATTTAGATGACTAGTTTAGGTTCCTTTTTAATCTTGTTATTTAATCAAGTGATCACAAACATTTTAGAATTATGTGTTGCATTAATATTCAACCAATATAGTCTAATATTAGTTTGGAGCAAATGAATCTTTGTTTGTATGCCTTTGAGATCACAGGAATTACTTTTCGCAATAAGAATCGAGTAGAGGCGAATACTGTCGAATGTGACACCATGACTCACTTCGTACCATCATCACCGATCCTCCTTTTGTGGTTTCGAACCATTTGGACGTAGTAATCTCATGGATTATGAATGGGGTGTAACCTTCACAGGTCAATCGTTGTTGCCTATTGTTGTCCCTTATTCGTAGTTGCCTTAAATGATTCGTGAACGGTTTACAGGTTCCTTAAAAACTTGTTGGCGGCTCCCTACTTTGCTTTGTCCCTAATCGTATATTGTCAATTCCCACTTCCTAAGAGTGCCAAGCATATTCACGACATGCTTACGTAGGCGCGCTTCGAATGACGTCTACAATTTTGTGACTCCACTAGGTAGGATTCGGTTATTTATCGATTTGAGTGATCGTTAATTAATTAAGATTAGTGGATGAGACTTCACTAGTAGAAAAAACTAAATGGGAAGCGGTTCAAACCCCCTAATTGGAAGCGGTTTTGAACCGCTTCCTTTTGGGGGGCTTCTATAATTAAATTGGAAGCGGTTCAAACCGCTTCCAATTTATGGAGAATTGGAAGCGGTTTTGGCGCCAAACCGCTTCCAATTCTCCTTTATTTTTATTTTTTTTATAATATAATAATATTATTAGTGTCCTTACATAATAATTTTAGTATTATTATTTAATAATAAAATAATATTATTAATCGATATAAAATTATTATTATTAATTATTAATAAAATTAATATTATTAATTAATAATAATATTAATATTACAAACAATAATACAATGATATATATAACACGAAATAATTATATATATTAAAATAAACATCGTTAATATATTTAATGAACGATAATATTTAATTACACCAAAATATATTAAGATAACAATTACAAATACTACATACTACTTATAAACTAATGTTCGTTAATATATTAAAAACATATATAACTACGTACTTAAAATAATAATGTTCATAATATCTAATTAATAAAGTCAAGCTAACAAACTAATATAACCACTCCGACAATTCTAGATGCCATCAAATGTCACGAAAAACGCCCACATGTCGCGAACTTCATTGATTTCCTTGCTTGTTAACGGGCCTTCTCTTTGAATCTTGCAAAACTATTAAGAAAAAAAAAATCAAATATTGTCATGATCGAGTATCACAAAAAATGTATATATGTCAAATATATATTTCAAAATTAGTGACCAAAATCCTCAAACACTTAGGCATTAAAATTCACAAACAATTCGGCAACAAATTCACCACATTCACCGAAAATCACCAAAATCACCGAAATGCACCAAAATCACCGAAATGCACTGAAAATCACCAAAATGCACCAAACTCACGTGCATGTAGAGGCTGCTGGGTTGCTGCCTGCCTGGGCTACTGCAGCTGCCTAGGATGCCTGCCTTGGCTGCTGCAGCTGCCTGGGCAGCTTGCCTTGGCTGCTGCAGTGGCCGGGCAGCCTGCCTAGGCTGATGCAGTGGCCTGGGCAGCCTGCCTTACACTTTCCCTAAAAAAAATGCAACAAGGCTTGAGCATTAATCTGGGTTTCACAGATAAAATCAAAGAGCTACAAGATCTGTCTAATTATTTATAAATACACATAGCAATTTATACTGCTAGAGTTGAAAAAAGGAGCTTGCAATATCTCATTGCCTTAAATAAGCAATGATCACCCTTTGCAGGGGTTTGTTCTAAGTCTATATTATTAGATTCAACACCAGATATAATATTAGCACACACTACCATTTTACAGTCAAACGCTTGTCATATGCCCAAACTGTTCTGAGTAGAGTAAAATTGTGTAACTGATCAGGCAGGCATCATCATCACTACTCAACCCCGGTATAGTAGAAAGATTGAGGTACCCCCTTACTATCTATTGATTGAATTCAAATGTGGCCAGTGGTCTCAGGTAAAAGTTTCAGAAATACTTTTTGGTAGGATTACTAGCATTACAAGGATGTCACTAACATTGAGTCGTTGATGCCCCATTATGCAGGGGTTAATGGTTACTGAGTCTATATGTAAAATGTAATTGTGCATGGAAAGCCTCGTGTCTATGTGAACAGTAATGCAAGTCCTTTCCCTTGGTAATGCAACCTAATGTAAGAAATACGTGGAAATGGACAAGCACTACCATGGACACAGACATGAAACGTCCTTACAATTAGAAACTAATACCCACATAAATGATGACTCAATTAGAAACTATGGGTAGCAAAAAATTCATGAAAATATCAAAAATTGCACTTTTTGATTCACACAACCTCATCATACAATGCTCAACAGAAACAAAATTCGCACACTTTAGCAAAAAAGCACCATTTTGCTTCATATTTATTAGAGTTTAGACAGCTTATGTACTCTAAGAAAGCACAAATAAAATTAAATGAAATTGTAAGGGAGAGAGAAAGATAGAAACATACAACACGGAAACGAGTATTGAGCTCCTTCCTTATATATGGATTCTTCATAATTTTCTCGTCAACCTTAAGGCTGAGAACAGCTGCCCAAAGTATTGAAGCAACCATAAACAAGTCTAGCAAACACCAATATCAGATCAATGCAGAGAGTGAGACTGTTTTCATATCCAAGGCACAAATCAAACAATCAAGAACACACACCTACGCTAAAAGAGACAAAAAAAATAGAACGATAGAACAAGGGAACAAGATAGAGAAATGAGCAGAATTTAATAACCTGATAAGTTCTAAGAATCACATCAGCAAGATGGCATGATGCAATATTTAGAGAAATAAAAGTGCAGACTCTATCTTGCCTTTGAAATGTGAAGTATAAGGAGAGGAGGAAAAAAATCGAACTTAGTTAAAACTAATTATATATTAGACAGATATAAAGAGGTTATATCCTCCATTTTCTTCCTTTTTAATCTGTTCATGAAAATGTCCAAAGAATGAATCTTCAATAAGGAGGCAATGTAGTATTTAGAATTTATAATGGTAAAAAATCGCATTGGGACAAGAAAGAAATGCGTTAAAAGACGTTCCACGGCAAGGATTAAGAACTTGATAGAACACAAATACTACCAATCAATATTACCAAAAGTTGACAGCGACATGATACAAATACAATACCATCATACCACTCAACAACAAGGATAATTAAGAACTTGATAATATACAAATATTTGAAAACAACAGTAAGCAAAACAAAAGCTCATTGAACATGCTATCACAATACTAATAACCACCTTACTTATAACCATTTAGTACTAGCTTAATTTTGCAATTACGAACTTATAATTATCTCATTACTTTTCTAGCTATAATGGATTAATAATTCCTGTGTTTTGAGTAAAATTACCGTAGCTCGTGTCTCTATTTCATACTGAGGACAAGTATACTCTGTCAAGATCAGCTGTGCTTAATTAGCATCCAACTGCATTGCCTTGCCAACAATTTCATATCATTATCATCAAAATCATTCAGAACTAGTAAAACATTAAAGCAATCAGTATCTCACCATTGAGTTTGATACAAGCTCTTCTTTCCAGGAGTTTCTTTCAGCTCCACGATATAATCTCTACCCCATAAACCATTCAACTATGCTCCAATAAGAGTCATTTGATTTTAATTTTTTTTCGACTCAAAGACCCCAAAAAATTTCAATGTCAAGTTTTTTATACCGTAATAAAAAAAGATCTTAACTTTTGGAATCCAATAAGAGTTTTAATTGAAAAAATAGTAGTTCAACTAGCAACACTCCTAAATTGTTCATTTTCATAGTTCCATTTTACTCCGTAACATTAAAGGGTTATGTGATGAAAAGCCTGCAACTTTAGCAATCAAATTTGAGCCAACAACCCCTATATCTAGTATTTAAACCCATATAAATGATGACTCAATTAGAAACTATGGGTAGCAAAAAATTCATGAAAATATCAAAAATTGCACTTTTTGATTCACACAACCTCATCATAAAATCCGCACAACAGAAACAAAATTCGCACACTTCAATATAAAAGCCTAAAAATTAAACAGAAATAAGAATTAAACATCAAGGATTACCTCATTTCAGTTGAGCCTCGATGATTCGTATTAAGGAGTACCTCACCCTTTAATCTCAATCCTCTACAAAGTACCACAAAAATAATCAAAAATTGAAAGTTAAACATCAAGTTACAGAATATGAAAAGGAAAGCAAGATTAATTGTGAAATTTCACAAAAACTGAACGAAAAAGGAGATAAATTGCATAAATTGAATGAATATTGTTTCAAAAAACCCTAGCCATCGATGGCGCGCAACTAACCTAACAACACCTTAGTGAAGCTAAGGCAATGGTGTAGATGTTGTGGTGGGGTTAAGTGAAGCTAACAGCAATGGTGGTTGTGGTGGAGTGACGGTGTGAGAGTGAAAGAGGAAGCGAAGGAGGTAGTCAGGGAGCGCAATTGTGAGAAATGAAGGAGGGGAAATGAGGGAGTTTAAATCCCGGTTTTTTTTTTTTTTTTTTTTTTTTTTTTTTTTTTTTTTTTTTTTTTAAAGATAGGGAAGTGGTTTAAACCGCTTCTAATTACTTTTTGGAAGCGGTTCAACCAAAACCGCTTCCAATTCTATCCTTTTTTTTTTTGGGCGGGTTTTTGTAGGGAATTGGAAGCGAATTTTAAGAACCGCTTCCAATTTGGGGGTTCCAATTACCTTTTATCTTCTAGTGCTTGAAAGATTCTTGAATCGTATTCCTGTAATTAATTTGGCATTTTTTCATATGCATTGACGTCTTAACGTCATATTTAAGTTCGTTTCGTAGGAAAAATTGAATAACCTGATCGCGATCGAAAAAATCAAAGCACTATAAATTTTTATTTCTGCCTCGCAACGGCAAAATTGTCGTAACCCGGCACAGAGTACCGCGACACGGCGCTCTGTATCGTGGCACAGCAATTCCTGCTGGTTCTGTTCTTTCTTGTGTTAGCTTCCTTCAATTTTTCTGAAAAACCGTATGTGTTCTACATATGTTTTAGCCCCGGGGGATTTAACCTCTATCAACCCGAGAACGTTCATGACAATAAGGATTCATCTGAGTTATTAAATACACCCAAACCATGGAGTCGAGTTCGATTTAATCACGAACTTGCGGAGCCACCTCTAGGCATACACCCTCAAGGGAGGCTGCCTTGCTAACGCGTCTAAACTCTTAACCATGGTATCCTTTTGACACCAAATAAACTTGACCATAGTGGAACATAGAACTTGACTTTAGGTTATGAACTTCACTACATCATTGTGACTACGTGCTCTACGTGTGCATCCTTGATTGTTTTAATTCTAGCCTTAACGAATGTTCTTTATGGTTTATTTTGTTTATGACGAACGAATGCCACTAGACCGTACCCATTTAGTAATTAGTGCAAACTCTGAAATTGACGAAAAACTGGAAAAAAAAACCGCATAAACAAACCTGGAACTAACCACCACGCCATGGCAATCAGTGTCGTGTCACGACAACTTGTACTGCACCATGGTACAGTTTGCCATGCCACGACAGTAGTGTCTTGCCACGGTATCCAGGGTTTGAGTCCAGTCTGTCCTGTTTTGGTCTTCCATTCTATTTTGGTCCTTACAAAAGTCATTTTGACATTGTTTACATGTCTAGCTATGCGATCATACCACGAGTCTTATAACATCACTTAATCACTCACGAGTCAAGTACATTCCACACACTTTCTTACTTTCGACTCGAGTTGTGCACCATGTCGTTTATGATCGTATACTAGATTCATGCATGCGTCCCCTTTTTCGTTATAATAAAAATGAGTGGAGTTTTTTCTCACCTGTTTTCAAATGTCTATCTATCCCCCTTTATTTCCTATTTTGAGCAGTGTGTCAAACCATTAAGTGAATTTCTTTTATTTCACAATACTTGGTCAAGGAGCAAGGGTAGATTGCTGCGGTTTGAGTCACTGCCACAATAACCTCTTATTCCTAAGAGGCGTACAAGGAAACCATCACAATCGTCTAAACGAAGTTCATCTCCTTCACCCATCTCCTGTTTACTTTCAATTTATTCCAATGGCCACTAAGGAAGATATTGAGGGCATTCACAAGTCCATCGAGGCACTTTCTGCCATGATGCAAAAAACTCACTAACCAAGTCATTACCATGGAACTTCTAAACGTGAACTCTCCATTCTCAAATAGAAAGAGAATGAAGGCTTCACCGCTTATCTGAAAAGGTAGAGAGAAAAAGCTGCACTCTTGGTGGATCCTCCCAAAGAAAAGGAGATGGTTCGTCTCTTTATCAAAAATATGACTTACAAGTATAGGTAACATCTCAAATTCCTTCCATTGAACACTTTCAAAACTGTATATGATATTGGCATCAATATTGAGGACAAGCTAATAAAGACTGCTAGCAGTAACAACAATAATAACACTCGGAAAAAGAAGAAGAACGACCTTCCTTCTTCTTTGTCTTCTAAGCCTGATAATACTACTAAAACTGTAAGCCAAGTGAATCTCATTGAAGTTTTAGCTCTCGATGCTCCATTGCCCAAGAAAAGGAGAACTTATACTCCTTTTAGAATGACGTATGATGTTGCTTTTGATCGCCTCTACAGTCAAGGCTTGATTACACCTATTGGACCATTCCTAGAGCCAAAACCTGAAGAAAGGAATGCTAAGTGGAATCCCAATGCCCACTGCAAGTTTAATCAAGGAAGAGGTCACACCACCGAGCAGTGTTGGAACTAAAAAGATGCCATCCAGGACCTAGTTGATGCCAACAAAATTCCTGTCCCTCCAGGCGGCAAGAATTAGTGAAGATAAGGCGCATGACGAGTCCTTCATGCAAGATTTCATGATGTTTTCTTTTTATCATTCATTTCCTTTTCCCCCATTCATGTTTAGCATAGGTTATCCCATTTTTAAGTTTCTATGTGTTTCAGTATGTTTCGTTCACCACCGAGCAACATTTTATATCTCGATCATGCCATTCTTTAGTTCAAAAAAAAAAATCAATTGCCGAACCAATTACAAGGTATACCATGATTTGAGGCACCTTTGCAACCCATTGTTCCCTTTTTAACCATTCAAACACATATTCCATTCTTTCATTAACAACTTTGAGCCTCGTCAAACCTTTGGCCTCATTTATTCAACCCACATTCACGTAACCTTGGGATGGGAAGGTGTGTGATTTGTGTAACGTTCAAAAGCAAGTTCCAAAGAGAAAAAAAAAAATAAAACAATGTCTAAGGAAAAGTGTTCCAATGTCTATGATATGAACACGTCTCAAGTTACATCTCTCATCGAGAGCTTGGTACTGTGCTTGAGAAACTTGAAAGCTAAGTGAGTGATGGACCGCATGATCCGAGATTGCCCACATTGATTCAAAAGAATGAAAAAAGGAAAAAAAATATTCAATGCAAAATAACATAATGTGAAAAATAAACTTGCAAGATTCAAAATTTTTCAAATACACAATTACACATCTTGGGGGGGCTTTTCTTGGGTCTTGAGCCTTTCACCCTTTCTTCTTCAAACCACTAGCTTAACCACGTTACAGCCTTCGAAAGACCTCTTTGAGGTATACATACATTTGTGCAAAGTTCGGCTAGAGCTACTTTGGCCTGATTCCTAACGGATACGTAGGCAACCTCACATCGAGGTGCAGCCACATTCATATTCATATCCATGTATAACCAAATTACAGAATATGCAGTGCTCATCTTTATCAATCTAGAGCTAGACTTGGGGGCTTTAACCCACATCACTTAGCCTACCCAGCCAAAAGAGTCTTCATCTTTGACTTTTCTCACATCTATTTCTATCACCATAGCCTTTGTAGCCAGCCTTAGTATCACTTTCACACATTTCATTCACATATTCATGGCCATATCCCCCATCCTTTAGGAACCCCTTATCATGAAATCTTGGTCCCATACCACGCATGCTTCACGACAGCATCCAGCAAAGTCATCATCATTCGATAGCATTATGATAAGTGGCATTTATGCCACTATTTAGATCCTCTAATCGCAGTATTTTTCTACGTTTGTCCCTTGTTTGTACCCCTTTTGCTCCGTTTCTCCCTTTATTATGTTTTTATGCTTTTCCTCGTGTTTTATAGGTTTTGGAGTTGATTTTAAGAGAATGAAGAGCTTGGAGAATTGGAGTTCATTTGAAGAGCTACAAAGGAAGTTAAGGAGCAAGCAAGCAAGGCCATGTGGACAGCGCGGGTCGCGCTTTTTGAATGGCGGGCGCGCCAAACCCAGCGCGGGCGTTACTAACATTGGGGTCGAAAATATTGGAGGCAGAATGTAGGCGCGATTTGGGCGCGGCTTAGGCGCGGGCGCTCAAGGGCCTGAACTCCAAAACTGACCTTTGTTCACTCTTTTAGCCATAACTTTTGATCTACAAATTGGATTGAGGTGATTCAAGTTTTTTTGGAAACTATACTTGAAGAGCTTTCCAACGGTAGGTTGCACGTCCCCAGAAACCTCCTAGAACAAAAGTTATGGTCGTTTGAAAATGAATGTTGCTGCCAGGCCAATCCCAGTGCGCGGGCGCGCAGGCCTCTATCGCGGGCGCGCACGAGCAGCTACGGGTCTTTTAAATGCTTCTTCCTCTCCTCTTTTTGGCCAAGTTTTTATGGTGGGTTTCTTTGGGGTTTTCTCTCTCCTCTTTGAGGGGTTAAACCCTAACATCTCTCCATCAATCTTCACATAAATTAGGCTTAGATTTAGATTTAATCTTTGTTTTTATACTTTGTAATGTAGATTAAGAGTAATTTAGGGTATTTTAGAGAGAAATGAAGAGCTTCAATGGTGGATTGAAGAAGATGAAGATGCAAAGTGACATTGTTTTGGATTCCTTTTCAATACTTCAATGAGCATTCTAAACTCTATCTCATTTATTGTTCTTTCTTAATTTCTTGCTTGATTAGAGTAGTTGTTTAGTTTAATTGCTTCTCTTTGTTCTTCTTGATGGGTTTTGTGTTAGTTGTTCATGATTAGTGAGTAATTCCCTTTACTAAGGGATTGGTGATAGCATGTGGTGAATCTTGAATGTATTAGGCTAGACAAATGTTGGTTATATGTGATTAAATATACCTTGTAACCATGTTTTACTAATTACTCCATGTGAATGGCCAATCATGTGTTGTAATTGGGTGGATTTAACTAAGTTATGACGATAGTGTAACTTAGGGATATCCATTAGGTGATCGATTCTATGCAAAAACCTTAACTTTCACAGCTTATGACGATAGTATGAGCATGTGTTAAGTTGGGAAAGCCTTTGACCCCGATAGGTGGTTAGATGGTATTGTTGGTATTGCCTTATATGAGATATTTGGTTTGCATGTAAACTCATTTCCATTGCCTAACTTTATTGAAGATCATTGTCATGTTTGACCCTCTCCCTTGGTGTTAGTTTAACTTAATATTAATCTC